CCTTAATCACAGTCAATTCTTATCTTTTCCCTTTATAATTTCGTCAAGCTTGTTGAGCGAATGGAAAGGATCAGTTGAATATTAAAGCTAAGCTCATATTATACAGGAGTAGTTTTTTCTCCTGCTAGAGTGTTCACCATTTTCCAAATAAACCACCTTAAAGTATATGTTCCGGGGCACTAAGTTATTAAATAAAGGAAATTCAATAAATTATAGACCCCTATTCAGTGTAAACCAGCAAATAAGAGGACGCCATGCCCCTCTCTGCCTCTACCAGCAAGCTTTGAACTATCTAACCAAAATGCGAATAAAATAAGCATATGTAGAGTACCAAAAAATATTATTGCTTCTAGAGTAGCAGTTCTTTCCCAATTAGATGCGGTTGCGTAGAAAAGCAACATCACATATACTAAACAGGTTGCCCGCTCTAAACCACCAACATCCCCAATTCTTATTATCAGTAGGTTATTTATCTGCAACACCACAATACAGTATAAGAGACAAATCTCTCAGTTAAAGTTATAATCTCGGTGGATTAACTATTAACTATGAGATGAAGGTCAATAAGAGGTTATTTCCGAGAAGCTTATTTTCTTCTTATAATTTAAGAAGGAATTATTCTATTTAAATTTCAGATTCCAACAAAGGAGGCCTATATAACCAGATACTTCCATTGTCAAGAAATCTTCACAAACTCACAATGTAGGCAATAAAAGATAGGCTTCAGTTTTCAACTTAGATGCAAACCTTTATCAAGGGAATAAGAGGAAGTTGAATAATGTCGGATAACAGCCAGGATTTGCAACCAGACGTGCACTTGTATTTCTCTCCTCGAAATCTGTCAAGCCATAGACTGCTTCTTGCTGCATCAATCGAAAGAATACTCATTCAAACTGCTGAGCTTATATTGGCCACAAGGAGATACTCAATTGGAGGAAAACTAATGAAAGAATTCTCTCATTCCGCGTATGATACACCAAATTTTCTGGTTAGGATTCTGGTTGTAAATCTTCATGTAACACCATATATTTGTATCAAACATGAAGTTCCTTTTTTTTCATTTTTCTGACAACAAATCCAGCATGCTGCAACAAACCCCAACTATAGGCAGATCAAAATGAACACATAAACAACTGAATGAATGCTTTGGAAGTTAATTATCTTAAAGTCCTGCACAAGTTTCAGACTGACGAAGAAATTCCTAAATTACTCAGATAGTTTAACCGGATAAGGCAAATTAGAGTACAAAGTAAGACTCTTATTTAGAATTACTAACGACAAATTTTAAATAAAAGAAAACAAAAACTGTCGACGACATATATCTTTAAACCTGACGACTCAATTACACAGTTGCAATGCCAATATCATACAAATCTAAACTATGCGGGAAGTGTAATGTTTGGAGTTACCATTCTTAACCACAGAACAACTAAAATCAACCAAACTATCATCAGAGAAAAGCGAATCGGAATTAGAAACACAAATTTAGGGCTTTTCTAATTGGAGTTACCAACTCACATCTCTAATTAGAAATAAGCTTTGAGTAGGTTCTCTAAGTAGAAGATTAGTTGAATTTCAGGCTTAGCAGTGGGAAAAAGCCAAATAAATTAGGTTTAAAATCCAATTTTACAGCTCAAAATTAAAAGATATGCCACATTCTTCTGGACACAACTTGCATGTGCAGAAAAGACAACAGAAGGCAGAGAATTTTAGAAATAACCGGGACAATAAAATATGAAACAATGACAAAGAACAGTACGTAGTGGAATCTAACCAATTCAGGTGTGGAAACCAAGCCAACCACAGAATTTGTTAATCTGTGAATTTCCTTATTTTAGCAAGAAAGACAGTGCAGAACGAAAGTCAGTGAAGTAGGTTTCCGAAGTTGATGATGTCCAAAGTAGCAGCAAAATCGGTGCAGTTCAGATTAAAAAATCTGAAGATGAAACAGAGACAGAAAAAGGATGAACAAAGGGAGACGGAAGCAGATTATTCGCTGGGAGATAGAAAGAAATCTGAAAATGAAGCAGAGAAAGAAAAAGGATGAACAGACGGATGGATTAATCGCATACGAGCATACGCATTTTTAAGTGCTGAAAACTGGTTTTTTTAAGATAATTATTTAGGTGTTTAGATAGAAGTGCTCAAATAATAATTTGGTAGAAAAGTGCAAGATAATTTATTCTTTGATTAAAATAATTAAAATATCCTTAAAATTTAATAAAATACTATAAATTAAAAAGAATGAATACGAATGTGGAATGAAAAGAAAGTTAGAAAATTTATTTTGGAAAAAATATTTCATGAATTAGAAAATATAATTAAGGATAAACTAATAAAAGGTTTTGGTCAAATTAAAAGTGTTTATAAGCTAAAACGCCATAAGTTGGTCATCAATTTATGATTTATGGCTGATTTTAGCTTATAAGCACTTGGCTTATAAGCACTTTGGGTGTTTACCAAACGCGTAAATAAGCCAAAAAATACTTATAAGCCAATTTGACCAGCTTATAAGCTTAGCCAAACACCATCTATATCCCACCACCCATCAGAGTTACTGTATACGTGTTAGCTATTAGAAAAATTATAAAAAAACTAAAGTAGCCCTGGGGAAGCAGGCATGACGACCCTGACCTGCTTCCAAACGGCTTCTATATATTTTCTTTTTAGAGATTTTACCTATATATACTACATTAGAAACTTATTTATCCTTACTGTTTAGGTTTTAACTTAATTACAAGTTGATATATAATTTACCAATTATATACAAATTAGTATTGATGAGTATCCCTTTGTATTAGGAACTGAATAGGAATTCCCTCTTCGCTCTCTCTCTTCAATCTCTATCTTCATCTCTCTCCCTATTAGCATTCTTATATTAATATCTTCACGTGGATTAACTGAAGAAATGATAATAATGTTAAGTGAAAAAAAAGAGAAAACATTAGTACCTAGAAAAGTTCTTGTTTCAGATCCTATGAAAATGAGGAAATAAATAAGAAAGAAATTAACTTTGATGAAGAGAATCATTTTAGTTATCATTCTTTTAGATTTTTTGAATCAATAAACAAAATAAATTAATTAGAAGTGATGATAGGCTATAATTACGTATTTTAGTCGATTATTACACTCTAATTTACTGCACTTTAGTTGAGTTTGCCCTTTAATCACTAATGTTTTGCACTAACGATGTGTTTTATGCCTTGTAGGAGTGATTCCGAGCTATATAGATGTTATGAAATGAATTCAAGTGATTTGAAGCTTTGAAGTCTGAGTAAAAGCCCAAGTAATTAAGTCGGGATCGTGTCAGGGGTCAACTTGATAGTTAAGAATAAACGAAGACTCGAGAGGGCATATTGCGCACTGTCTAGTAAAATACACATAACTTTTTTCTCAGAACTCCTTTTTGGCTCAACAATATATGGTTGGAAACCTAACTCAAAAGTCTACAACTTTCATGTTTTAAGTTTTTCCAAATTCTAAACAGAACAGGACGAAACGCGTGAGATTTGAGCCAACACGAACGAAACCGGGAAAAAGGACCAGTTGGGTGCCACAGGTAGTGCCTGGCGCCACCTGTGGCGCCAAAAACAATATGCACAAATAATGGGGCGCCTGGCGCCGGGCTGGGCGTTGGTGACGTGAAATGTGTCCTATTTTGCCCGGGACAAGTTTATTTCGGCCCAAGACCTACCCAACTGATATAAAAGCAAGACTAAACCTATTTTTGAGGGAGGAGACGCCACTTTGGAGTAGAGATACACACGGGATCGTGAGGAAGCGAATAATTCTCAGTTTTGTTCATCTTTTTCTAGTATTTCCAATTGATTCAACACTTATGCAATTGTTTGATTACATCATGAATGGCTAAACACCCATTGTTCTGGGGTTGTGATTTAGCCATGAATATTGTTGTTTGATATTGACTTGACCTTGATTATAATTCACTCATATATGGTTGTTTCTTCAATTCTATGTTGAATTGCTTAATTGTCTGGCCAGCAGTTAGGTTCTATTTACTATCTATGTTATGCTTGGGAAAGCCGTGTTTAGATTAGAGAAGAATTGAAGAGAGCATGATCTTAACCCTTAGGGGGAGCGGATTTGTAGTTAGGATAGGAATATACCTGGTCACCGTGCTTAATTTAATATCGTGATCTTAATGCGTTCTTAATAAATTGATTTCATAGGAATATAAGCGTTAATCTATTGAGAATAGGTGAGTAGTACTTCGGGAGAAGGCTATGAGAGCATTTATCGATAAATTAGCAACCATGAGTGAATTATATGAAAGGGGGAGTTAATTAGAACACAATACAAATGGTGAATCGATCACAACTCTGGAATATTTGTCTCTACTGAATACACAACAATCAATTCGTTATTTGATAACTTAGTTATTATTTAGAATTGTAGTATAATATAATCATATTATCGGACTTTGATTTTAGCTGGATTGAATAACAATTTGAGTGATTAAGTGAGTAGTTTACACAAGTCTTTGTGGGTTCGACACTCAACTTATCATTATATTACTTATCGACCACGTATACTTGCGTATGCGTTTGGAAGCAACAAGTTTTTGGCGTCATTGTCGGGGACTTGAATATTAAGTACTTGCTAGTTTTTGCTTTAATTGTTTATTTAGTCTAGTCTAACGTTACTTGATTGTTGCTCAGATCTCAGGAACTTTGATTGAATGCGTAGGGTCAGAAGCCAGGACCGACTTCAAGGCTTTGATCCTGAACCTGAGAGAACATTTCACAGGAGGTTGAGGGAAGCAAGGGACACGAATAATATTTAGGCACTTGTTCAATTTCCTGTGGACATGGCAGAGGAGTAACCCATGGCTGTTCAGGAGGTGGCGATGCCCAGCATTGCTAATGTCACCTCCAGTATAGTGAAGCCCAGGATCACTGCGCACTTTGAGCTGAAACAGAGCATGATCCAGTTACTTCATGCAAACGGGCAATTTATGGGTCTTCCACACGAGGATCCATAGTAGCATATTCTGAACTTCTTGGAGATTAGTGATACTTATATCACTAACGGGGTCACTCCAGATTGTGTGAGGCTCACACTTTTTCCATTCTCTCTGTTGGGCGAGGCTAAGCGATGGCTAAAGGCAGAACCAACTAATTCCATTACATCATGGAATGATTTGGCAAGAAAATTTCTGGCAAGGTTCTTTCCTTCAGGCAAAACTGCAAAGATCAGAAGTGAGATAGTGGCCTTCAAACAGAAAGCGGGAGAATCTTTATACTCAGCTTGGGAAAGGTTCAAGGGGCTACTCAGAGATTGTCCTCATCATAATCAGACGAATGAAGTGTTAGCTCACACGTTCATAGAAGTGCTACATTCTGAAACAAAGATCGTGGTAGATGCTGCAGCAGGGGGTCAAGTGTTGGAGAAAATCTTTGACGAGATATATGCATTATTGAACAAATTCTCCAAGAGCAATCCGGATTGGCAAGGGGAGATGGGCAGACACACAGTGCAAAAGTCTGCAGGGGTTCTTGAGTTAGATGTCGTCTTAGCATTATCAACGCAGATTGCTACACTGACCAATCAAGTCAACCAGATGAACTTGAGTATCAACAAGCAACAGGTACAACAAGTTCAAATATTTTGTGAAGTATGTGGAGAGGGTCACATGAGCAATATATGCCCAGTAAATCCAGAGTCGGTATATTTTGTGGGTAATGCAAATCGAGGCCAAACAAATCAGTATAGTGACACTTACAATCCCAACTGGAGGAACCACCCAAACTTCTCTTGGGGTGGAAACCAGGGCGCTCAGAATCAATACAGGCCTTAAGCACCTCAACAGCAATATAGACCACCTCAGGTTGAACAACAAACGAGTCCTACAAGTCACCTTGAAGACATGTTGAAAAAGTGATGGCTGAACAGCAAGCCCTCTCTAAGAAAGTGATGGCTGAACAACAAGCCCTCACCACAACAGTGAGAAATTTGGAGCATCAAATGGGACAGCTTGCCAGTGCTCAAAACACTAGACCAGCTGGAGCTCTTCCAAGTGATACTGAGCCCAATCCTAAAGCTCAAGTCAATGCGGTTACCTTGAGAAATGGAAGAGCCCTAGAAGAAATTCCAAAGAAAAAGAAGAATACAGATCATCCTGAAGGAGAATTAGCTCTCCAGCCAGTTGAGGGGAATGAGAAAGATGATAAAGGACCCAAGCCAGTAATTGAGACTAGGCCACCGCCTTCGTTTCCACAAAGACTACAGAAGCAAAAAGATGATGCCAAGTACAAGAAATTCCTAGATATTTTGAGCCAAGTGAGCGTGAATCTGCCTTTGGTGGAAATTTTGCAGTAAGTGCCTAAGTATGCAAGGTATCTCAAAGATATTGTGGCAAACAAACGAAGACATGCAGAGTTTGAAACAGTTTCACTTACTGAAGAGTGTAGTGCCAGAGTTCAGAGTAAACTTCCTCCTATGTTGAAGGATCCTGGGAGTTTCACAATTCCTTTGTCTCTTGGAAAACAAGAAGTTGGTAGAGCCTTGTGTGATGTAGGGGCCAGTATAAATTTGATGTCATCCTCTTTGTTCAAGCAATTCGGATTGGGGGCGCTTAGACCTACTACAATCACTTTACAGCTAGCAGATAGGTCATTAGTCATGCCCGAAGAAATTATTGAGGATGTGTTAGTTCAAGTGGAAAAGTTTATTCTTCCTGCTGATTTTATTGTTCTCAATTACGAGGCAGATGAGGAAGTGCCCATTATTTTGGGGCGACCATTCTTAGCTACTGGTGGAGCAATTATTGATGTGAGAGCAGGGAAGTTAAAAATGAGAGTTGACGATGAGGAGGTCACTTTTAATGTGTACAAGGCACTTAAGCTTCCTAAGCATTATGAGGACTTGTGCATGATTACTGTGGTAGAATCGAAGGGGATAAAGCAGAGTCCTTATGTGAATTATAGTGATCCAAATGGGACAACTGAGTTAAAGGAGGTGGTATTTCCAGCTGTGCGTGTTAAGATGATTGAGAAAAGAGCCAGAGATGAAAGAGGAGACCTTCTGAGAGCGCGCAAAAAGGCTAGAATTCATGCGAGAAAGAAGAAGAGAAAGCGCCC